TATATGTACATGATATATATATATATATATTTATGTATACATGTAGGCTGCCAGATTAATTTATTTACAAACATTCTTCTTATAAAAATTCTATTTTTCAAAATCATTATACTTCTCATTCTATGCACAAACAAAGCTCCCGAATATAACGAAACCTAGGAATGGTGTAAATATAAAATGAAGTTTAGCATCTCCAATTATGTAATTCATTATCAGACACTGGATCGACGACTTGACAATGATTTACCGTCTGACTTGAAATTTCGCAAACGAGATATTAAAAGCTCCCTCTTAGTTCCTAAACGCAAAACGGTGAAAATAATTTGCCTTGAAATATTATAAATTTCAAACTTGCACCTCACACTCTGTACATAACGCACTAGTTCGCATTTCATAGGGGAAAAACAAATCACCGCATATTTTCTTATCTTCCTCATCGATTGGCGTAAGGACAACACCCCGTCCGATATACTGCAACATTTCTTTGAAATTATTTTTTATGAAAGCAAAAAGGATGAAATTTCAGAGTAATCAACCAACGCATTAAAATGATAAAAAAGCGAAATAATAACCTCTTTTATCACTGCGAAACCTTCTCGATCCCGTCCAAAGCGCTGTATACTCAACCCAATCTTTTTGACTGTTGGATTTGTAAATTCACGGATCCATGGTGGCGCACACGAGATTCGTCCTTCTATGGAACGCCCGATAGTTGCAAATTCTGGCCATTCTACCTAGAAATATTTGAGATATTAAAATCCATATTTTATCCGCTTCTAAACACAGTTTTTGTCATGCTTCAGCACAGCCCAGTTATATCTAACACTACATACTGATAAAAGCCCCATGTCGAGTTTGCGAGGGACTTTAAAACAAGTTAAATACAAGAGAAAGTACTGAAGGAAAAAATTTACATCTGTGGTAATCGAACTCTTCTTTGCCATAAATGCCGAAGTAACCTCATCTACTGGGAAAACCTGCCGAGGAAGTGCAACTAGCTCATGATTCGCTATCAGAGCAAGTGGAATTTCGCAGTCATCTTGTATTACTACCATTGGTACCAGTTCTGCTAAAAAAAACACAATTTAAATATAAAATTAGTAACAATATTGTTCGTTTATAAACTCAAAAATGAAACGTACGGTTACGACCGGTTTCCGTGCTTGGCCTTATAGAGGTACATGTTAGTATCACGTGAACATGATCTCGTAGTTCTTTTAGATTAACACCTCCCTCTACTTCGATCTCCACCTGAAATCTCCCTAAATATCAATAAACCAAATAGTGATTTAATGATAATCTAACAGTAAAGTCAGCTTTAAACATAAGATTAAATATTAACATTCATTTCCACAACAGCTTTAATAAATGCATGTGTTATGTATTTGTATATCAGGTAAATCATGTTTATGTAATGTTGATCTTAAGCATGTATGAAATCAAGCAAAGATTTGAAGAATTTAATTCACAGTGCAAAAAATTTTAGAAATGCACGAAGATTTAAAAAGTGGCGGGAAAGCATACCACTGCTCCAGCTTGGAAAACATCTGCAAGGTTATCGGTGATTACGCTCAATGGTGCATCATTAACCAAGGTAGAAAGTGAAAAATAAATATGAATATTTGACGCGGAAAAATTAGACTGACTAAGGATACGACCATATTCTCTCTGCACTTCCAGAATTAATCCTGTTTCTCTCACCAGTTCCGGTACTGAAATTGACTATTATCCGACTTTTCTCGATCAATATCCTGTGTCGCGAATTTCAATATCGCGAAATCCCAAATAATAAAATAAATTCCTTATTCAAATTGTAAATAAATGTTAACAATAGAATCATTTAACCAATTCACACTCTTTAAAATTATTTCCCATACGTTTTTTTGTTACCTTTGTCTAACGGAAATTCACATCTTTATTTTCTTGACAAAGGATGGTGTTCAATTTACATGCTAATCTTCCCTCTGATCTTGTTACAATGCTTATTCTGTGCTTGGATCTCTACAGTTTCCTTTGTATCTAAATGAGTACCCTTTTTTAACCTTTTATGTAAACCACTCCCACTCAATTAACACATATATACAGCTCTTTGTAAGATAAAGAAAAAATTCCTTTTCTCCTGGATCTAGACGATTATATCCCTTCTCTAGTAAATTGCTTTCGTCACCGATATTCTTTTCCTTTCTGCTGCTTGTTTAATTGGTCTTATCCATCACTTTTATATATATTAGTAGAAGTTACTAATCCTTTCTGCTGGATCATTTTCGTGGCATAACTGACGCGCTTACGAGCTTCCACCGTAATAAGGTAAGCTTTCGTTAAAATTTCTTGTGTACCTATAACTCACAGCGAAACCTTTCAAATCCTTCACTCCGCAACAATATCTGGTGCAACTATAACACAATATAACCAAAGCCAAATAACTCTACTACAAGCTAACCCCTTAAAGTTCCTGACCATTGACTAACCACAACAAAAACAAGTCCGACATCCTGACACTTGCTATTTTTGTCCTTCGTTTTGATGACCTAAGTTCAAATAACTTACTTAACCAGGAATGATTACGC